CCCCCCTTCCTTCCTTCCTTCTTCTCAATATCTCCTTTTTTCCTTCCTTCCTTCCCTCCCTCCCTCCCTCCCTCCTTACTTACTTACTCACTTACATCAAGTGTTTCACAACAGATAATTTGGGCTCACGGTCGTAAATTACCCTTCTTTCTGATCAGAAGGGTAAAACAATTGAGCTTAATCTCATGTATGTTTTATTGGGTTATTGGGTGGTTGAGTTATGCCCCGGGGATCTGGATTTAAGGGATCTTGTTCCCGCCAGGGTTATTACCGACGGACAGTGGACTATTTCCCTACCAAGAACCGCCAGCGTCTCGGCTGTTTCGCTCTGCCCATGGTCTTCGGAACCTTTTTGATCGATTTGCGAAAGGATGACACAGCCCACCTGGCCTTCTATCCGCCTCACCCCACCTACTCTTGGCCCTTCGACGATATCAACGTCTTCGCCTACTCTTGCCAAGTTGCAGGTAAGGCAGGAGTGGGTTGCTGGGGGGGTTCGCCGGGGTTCGGTAGAACCCCTAGCTAAGATTCTGTGCAGTTCGGAGAACCCCCAAATCCCACTCCTGGCTGGCCCTGCCCACCACACCCCGCCCCTCCCAGGAGTTCCCACATGGCCCGTTTTGGATGCAGGTAAGTGCAGGGCGCGTGCAGAGGCTCGGGGAGGGTGAAAAACTGGCCTACTGGAGGTTCGGGAAGGTTTCCGGCCTCCAGAGGGCCTCCGGAGCCTGGGGAGGCCATTTTTGTTCTCTGGAAGCTCAAGGAAAGCCTCCGGAGCCTGGGGACGGCAAAAACGCCATCGCCCCCACCATGGTGCAGGAGGCTGACTAGGCCACACCCACCATGGCCACGCCCACCCAGCAACCGGGCAGGGAACCCCTTGGCCAAAATTTTTGAAGCCCACCCCTGAGGTAAGGACAGACAGTGGCACCATCTAGAAGAATCTGCTTTTTGGAGGGATTTTACGGTTTTTAATTTATTATTTATTTATTATTATTTATTTATTAATCAAATTTCTATACCGCCCTACTCCCGAAGGACTCAGGGCGGTGAACAGCCAAGATAAAATACAGATAATACAAATATTAAAAATCCCTTAAAATTATTAAATATTTTGGCCGAAACACAGATTAAAACACCCAATTTATAAAATCACGAATTAAAAAATTTAAAAGAGGGGAGTTAGGCCAGGCCAGTTTGTTGATCAGATAACATACAACGATACAAAAGCAAACAGTAAGGAAAAATAGCGGATTTATTTATTCCGTAGGGAATCAAAGAAGAGCGAAAGGGGGAGTGGGGGTTTTGCAGGAGACAATTAGTTCGCTCAATTGGTTGGTGACTCTCCGAGGCTCCTGGCCAACTTTTGAAGATATCGGCCTGGCAACTCTCCAAGCCAGATAAGGTCTGTGATTGTAAATCCTCCCTTGAAAGACTTCTGCTGGATGGGAATGAGAGGAATGTAATAAAACTCTCAGAGAAAGAGAGACAGAGGCGGAGCCTGGGCCGTCCGTCAGCCCTCAGATGGAGAGTCAACAGCCCCCAGGTCTGGAAGTGGCTGATGAAGAGGAGGAGGAGGAACAGCTGGGTCCAGTGCCTGACGTGCGGATGTGCCGAAAGCAGAGGAGAGGAGAGCAGTGGAAATCTATGGGCCGGGTCCTTGGGAAGGAAGAGCCACCACTGCTAGCGAAGCCCCACCTTAGCTCTGTAGATAAAAGGCAGGGGGTGAAGATGAATATATGTGGCAGCATTATTATTATTATTATTTATTGGTTAATTTTTAGTGAGATTCACAGCCTTTGAGGCTGGTTAATAGCTCAGCAGCTCGAGTCCTAACCAAGGACCTAGGAACTGTTAAGGTATCGTCGGAGGATGTAAGCTGTTCCAAGTAAGTGGTTTATTATTATTATTATTATTTTATTATTATTATTATTATTATTATTTAATCTTTGGTGAGATTCGCAGCCTTTGAGGCTGGTTAATAGCTCAGCAGCTCGAGTCCTAACCAAGGACCTAGGAACTGTTAAGGTATCGTCGGAGGATGTAAGCTGTTCCGAGTAAGGTGGTTTATTATTATTATTATTATTTTATTATTATTATTATTATTATTATTATTATTTAATCTTTGGTGAGATTCGCAGCCTTTGAGGCTGGTTAATAGCTCAGCAGCTCGAGTCCTAACCAAGGACCTAGGAACTGTTAAGGTATCGTCGGAGGATGTAAGCTGTTCCGAGTAAGGTGGTTTATTATTATTATTATTATTTTATTATTATTATTATTATTATTATTATTATTGGTTAATCTTTAGTGAGATTCATAGCCTTTGAGGCTGGTTAATAGCTCAGCAGCTCGAGTCCTAACCAAGGACCTAGGAACTGTTAAGGTATCGTCGGAGGATGTAAGCTGTTCCGAGTAAGGTGGTTTATTATTATTATTATTATTTTATTATTATTATTATTATTATTATTATTATTATTTAATCTTTAGTGAGATTCACAGCCTTTGAGGCTGGTTAATAGCTCAGCAGCTCGAGTCCTAACCAAGGACCTAGGAACTGTTAAGGTATCGTCGGAGGATGTAAGCTGTTCCGAGTAAGGTGGTTTTTTGTAGAGTCAAAATGTTCAAGTAGAGTCAAGTAATTATTATTATTATTATTATTATTCATTAATATTATTAATTAATTAATAACTTAATAATTAATAATAATCGTTATTATTAATCATTAGCCTGCGGTGAGAGAGAAACTTCTAATAAAGAATAATAATAATAAATAATAATAAAGAAACGCCTAATAAAGGAATCATTGCTTCAGAGGGTTGGTCGTGTTCGGGGAGCTGGGTCAGAACAGTTTTTCTCCATCCAGGAGCGGAGATGTTCCTGTGCAACCAGGAGAGATTCGGGTACATCAACGTGCCGATGGGGTCCCACCAAACGCTGGAAGAGGAAGAGGTCCAGTTCGTGCACCTCGTCCTGGAGGCCATCGGTGGGTAAGAGGGGCGCCCTCGTGTCGTCCCCATCCCCGCCCCCCCCAAAGGTCTCTGCTTCCTCAGAGGGAGCCCCGGGGGAAGGATTAGCGCTCGGTTTTGGGGGACCGGGGCTGTGGGTGGGGGGGGGAGGTATTGAACTGAAAAGGCGAGGCAGGGTTTTTAGGGAAAGCAATTATTATTATTTTATTATTATTATTATTATTATTATTATTATTATTTAATCTTTAGTGAGATTCACAGCCTTTGAGGCTGGTTAATAGCTCAGCAGCTCGAGTCCTAACCAAGGACCTAGGAACTGTTAAGGTATCGTCGGAGGATGTAAGCTGTTCCGAGTAAGGTGGTTTTTTGTAGAGTCAAAATGTTCAAGTAGAGTCAAGTAATTATTATTATTATTATTATTATTCATTAATATTATTAATTAATTAATAACTTAATAATTAATAATAATCGTTATTATTAATCATTAGCCTGCGGTGAGAGAGAAACTTCTAATAAAGAATAATAATAATAAATAATAATAAAGAAACTTCTAATAAAGGAATCATTGCTTCAGAGGGTTGGTCGTGTTCGGGGAGCCGGGTCAGAACAGTTTTTCTCCATCCAGGCGCGGAGATGTTCCTGTGCAACCAGGAGAGGTTCGGGTACATCAACGTGCCGATGGGGTCCCACCAAACGCTGGAAGAGGAAGAGGTCCAGTTCGTGCACCTCGTCCTGGAGGCCATCGGTGGGTAAGAGGGGCGCCCTCGTGTCGTCCCCATCCCCGCCCCCCCCAAAGGTCTCTGCTTCCTCAGAGGGAGCCCCGGGGGAAGGGTTTAGCGCTCGGTTTTGGGGGACCGGGGCTGGGGGGGGGGGGGGGAGGTATTGAACTGAAAAGGCGAGGCAGGGTTTTTAGGGGAAGCAAGCGTTGGAATTGAGAACGGAACGTCGATTTGAGGTTGTGAGGATTGGGAGAGGGCTGGGGGTTTGGAAAGGGCTTGAACGGGTGGGAAGATGTAGAGCAAAAACTTCAGGCTGTGTTTTCGTTTCGTTTCGTTTTTGTACCTTATTGCACTGAAAACAGTTGAAGTCACTTTTTTTTTCTCTCTCTCTCTCTCTCTCTCTTTCTTTCCTTCTTTCCTTCTTTTTTTCTCTTTCTTTCCTTCCTTCCTTCTTTTTTCTTTCTTTCTCTTTCTTTTTCTTTCTTTCCTTTCTTTCTCTTTCTTTCTTTCTATTTGTCCCTCCTTTCTTTCTTTCTTTCTTTCTTTCTATTTCTCCCTCCTTTCTGTCTGTCTTTCTTTATTTATTTCTTTCTTTCCTTCCTTCCTTCTTTCTCTTCTTTCTTTCTTTCCTTTCTTTCTTTCTCTTTCTTTCTTTTGTTCTGTTTCTCCCTCCTTTCTTTCTTTCTTTCTTTCTCTATTTCTCCCTCCTTTCTTTCTTTCTTTCCTTCCTTCTTTCCTTCTTTCTCTTTTTTCTTTCTTTCTTTCTTTCCTTTCTTTCTCTTTCTTTCTTTTGTTCTATTTCTCCCTCCCTCCTTTCTTTCTTTCTTTCTTTCCTTCCTTTGTTCGTTCTCTTCTTTCTTTCTATTTCTCCCTCCCTCCTCTTTCTTTCTTTCTTTCTTTCTTTCTTTCTTTCTTTCTCTCTTTCTTTCTCTCTTTCTATTTCTCCCTCCCTCCCTCCCTCCCTCCTTTCTTTCTTTCTTTCTTTCTTTCTTTCTTTCTTTCTTTCTTTCTTTCTTTCTTTCTTTCTCCTCTCCCCCTTCCCTTCTTTTTTCTTCCTCTTCCTTCCCTTCCCTTCCCTTTTCTTTCCTCCCCTCCCCTCCCCTTCTTTTTTCCTTCCTCTACCCTCCCTTTCCTTCATTCCCTTCCCTTTTCTTCCCTTCCTTCTTCCTCCCTCCCTCCCTCTCTTCCTTGTCAAGCTTTCTAAGAAGGGGGGGAAAAAAAGGAAAACAAAATTTAAACTTTTACAGGGTGACAATTTCCTCTCGGTCTGTTTTCCTCCCTTGCAGTCGATGGGCCTCCAATGGCCCGTTCCAGACACCTCTACGTCCCCCCAAAACATCCCACCAAGATCGGGTTTGATGAGGTGAGGGAAAAAAACCACAAGCTGATTGGTCTGCACTGGGCAGGGGGGTTGGACTAGATGCCCTCTATAGACCCTTTAGACGCCTCCATCTTTTCCCTTTTCTCACAGGTGTTTCTCATCAACCTGCCCCGACGCCCGGACCGGCGGCAACGCATGCTAGAGGCTCTCTCTGAGCTGGAAATAGACCCCTTGCTGGTCGACGCCATAGATGGAAGGTGGATGATGGGTTGCGTTGTCTTTTTTCAATCTGGAAGGAGTTCCGGACTTTGGCCGCCTTTCCAAGAGGAACCCCCCCCCCTTTAGAGTGGTGATCAAGAGACAGATCACAAGGCCAAGCTTTTGTCCACGACAAAGCCTCCACTTTCAGTAGCAGTCTACCCTTAAAAGTAGCTCAGGGCGCAAATGCCTTTCCCCAATGTCTCCAAATCTCACAAAAGACACAATTGTCTCTGATTTGGGCTAAATCTAGATGACTTTCCCCCCAATTCTTATTACAATATTTTGATTTATTTTTTTCTTTCCTTTCTCTCTCTTTTTCTCTGTCAGGGCCCTGAATAGCAGCAGCATCAAGAAACTCGGCATCGACTTACTGCCGGGATATTATGACCCCTTTTCGGGAAGGACCCTCACCAAAGGGGAGGTTGGCTGTTTCCTCAGTCACCACCACGTCTGGAAAGAGGTAAGAATCCAGGTTTAAACCTGGTTTGTTTTTCCTTTTACACATCAAGCACCAACCTTGGTCTTCCAGGCGACCAGGATGATGAAGAATTCAGAACTATCTTTTTTTTTTAAGTTTTTTATTTTGAACACATTAAAACAAGACACAAACACACAACATTTATATACATTATCCCTTATTCCTTCAGCTATTTCAAGGTGATCCTTTCTTGCTATTTACATCTATTTACACATATTTTAAATTTTGTCTTATTCAACAATTCTTTTCCATCTTTCTTTATTTCGTCTACATTGCACCTTGATCTTCAACATTTTCCCCCCTCTCTCCTTTATTTCTCTTTCTCATTTTTCCTATTCTTCAATCATTCATACCATCTACACCACACTTTGTAATATTCTGTATCCTTTTTCTCCTTGAGTTCAGAACTATCTTTATAATAATTCTAAAAATGTAAAATGTAAAATAACATACCTATTATTTTATTATAATTATAAAATAATTATATAGATTTGTGTTAGAAATATGGAAACAATAGCTACTGATCATATGTTACTGTATATTAGGAGACATAATACAATATATAATGTTAAAAATAAATATGGATATATACCGGTCTATCACTGTTGCAAATTTTGAAACTGTGATGTAAAATGAAGAAAACTGTATATTAAAATATATTAAATATTTAAAATATAAAATATTTAAACAAAAAAAAAAAGAAGAAGAAGAAATCAGAACTAAACGTGACTTAATTTCAAAATATGTTTCATTTGAGGAAAAAATGGCAGCTAATAAAATTACTCCTGGTCTATTTCATCATTTTCCCTTTCCCGTTAATTAAACATTAAATGTGATAATTCAGCTTTCACTCTTGACAGGGCTCCAGAAACATACCTCAACGTTTAAACCGTATTTACAGCTAGTCCTCGAGTTACGACCACAACTGAGTCCAAGATTTCTGTTGTTCTGAATGAGTTTTGCCTCATATAACGACCTACCCTTGCCACTAAATGGACTGTTGTAAGTCAAGGACTACCTATAATTTTGCTTTTCAAGCAGAATTTCTAATAAGTCCGACCAGACTTTTCCGATTTTCTGCTTGATCCTTGGAGCAGGCACGACACGAAAGGAAAGCAGGCTGCAGAGGGCAGAGGAAACGTAAATGTTGTGATAGACTCCACTGCTTTAACAGATTTTTTAAAAATGTTTTTTAAAAAGTTTTTTATTTTAAATTTTTTTACAAACACATCAATGTGTGAACAGCGTGGCACCTGAGTGCCATACATTTTAATACAAATAAAATAGGACCCAGTTTGTGGGGGCAATAAGCTGACTTTGTATAAATATACAAAAGTATGAAGGCTATTGCTTAACACATTGTAAGCCATCCTGAGTCTCCGGAGAAGGGCGGCATATAAATTAAAGAAAAAAAAATCATATTTGTTTCATTTAACAAGCTTATATCATCCTTGTAAACAATACACATATTTTTATTAGATTATAATCCTTCATTATTTAACCATTCAATATTTCAAATGTGTCATTTCTATGCCAATCACCCTATTCTCATGCCTTTTAATACAAATAGAATATTATTAATCATCTTTATTACTTTTAACAAGCTTATATAATTCTAATAATAGTACAAACATTTATGCTGAATTGAAACCTTCCATTATTCGCTTCAATTTATAATCCTTCATTATTTAGTTATTCAGTATTTCAATATGTTATTTTTATGTCAATCACCATATTCTGCATGTCATTTGAATATGAATTTGTATATTTTAATACAAATAAAGTATTTTTGATCATATTTGTTACATTTAGTAAACGTATACCTATTCGTATATTATTTATTTAATCAATAGTTCAATATATTATTTTTATGCCAGTCACCAAATTATTTAAGTATACTTAGTAATACCATCATTCAAATTCTAAATTCCCCCCTTACTATTACTTCTCCTTATTATATAAACACGTGTATTTTATTAATCCCCCCTCTCTAGTTTCCATCCCTATTCTGACTTTGATTATGTCACTACTGTACTTAAACATATTCCCTTTTTAACCATCATCTCTTACCCGCTTTAAAGCTTTATGTCAACTTGCAAAGCTTTCAAGTTGCCATGAGCAGGAGGGAGGGAGAACTGAAGTGAATTCCATACATTCTTCCTGACTGCAATCAGAAGGAGGGTGTTAGGTTTCACAGCCAGCCAAAGTGGTTAATTGGAGAATGTGATTTATGACATGGCCAGAGAGGAGGGGAGAGACAGGGTCATAGGGGAACGTAAATCTACGTGGGATCAGTCCTAACTGCATCCGAGTATTGCCGGAATGTTGCTCCTAATAAATGACTGTATTTCCTTTGAAGTTTGGATCATGGCTCATGAATTAATTAGGGCATCTTTCGGAAACTTGACACTTTAATTGTTCATTTCTTAGCTTGCCTCCCATATTCCTCTCTGGGATCTTAATTTCTGTCTGCTTCCACATCTTGGCTATTCATTTTAAATACTGATTTAACAGATTAACAGAGTTGGAAGGGACCTTGTAGGTCATCTAGTCCAATCCCCCCTACTCTTTAAACAGAGTTGCCTACGCGTGTCTTCCAGATCGTTGAGAGAGGTCTGGAGAAATCCCTCGTCTTGGAAGACGACATCCGATTTGAGGCTTATTTCAAGAGGCGCCTTTTGAAGTTGATGAACGAGTTGGAGCGGACGCAACTCGATTGGGAGCTGATGTACGTCCCAGTGTTTATGTGGTCATTATTATTATTAAACATGAAACTCAGTCAATTGAACATTCAAAAATGCATCACAAATACCATTGACTGGTGCTAATGGTTGATACGGGTTGTTGCCAGCATCCTAGATATTGACTAAGTACCTTCTTAAGATGTACGGTGTTCTGAGGAGCACAGGTTTTTGCAGTTCCATTGGTGTAATTGCAGGAAGCTGCAATTTATTGATGTCTTTTGTAAAATTCTTGGACATGGTACCAAGTGCCCCGATGACCATGGGTATCACTGTTACATGTTTCATCCATAATCCCGTCGTTTCGATAGCCAGGTCACAATATTTTGTGATTTTTTTTTCCCAATGGATGGAAGCTAATCAAGGAGAGAAGTAACCTAGAACTAAGGAGAAACTTCCTGACAGTGAGAACAATTAGCCAGTGGAACAACTGGCCACCAGAAGTTGTGAATGCTCCATCACTGGAGGTTTTCAAGACAACTGTTTGTCTGAAATGAGATACGGTCTGCAGCTTGATCAGGAGGTCGGACTAAAAGACCTCCAAGCTCCCTTCCATCTCTTGTCATTCTGTTATTCTCTCTTTTCAGCTACTTGGGCAGGAAACAAGTCAACTCCGACAAGGAGGAAGCAGTGGCAGAAATCCCCTATCTGGTGGTGCCTGAATATTCCTACTGGACGTTGGCCTACGTCCTCTCGCGACGGGGGGCTCAGAAGCTGATCGAGGCGCGGCCCCTCTCTAAAATCCTGCCCGTGGATGAATTCCTCCCCATTATGTACGACAAACATCCCAAGTAAGGATTTGCTGTCCTCCTCCTCCTCACCCGAAATCAAAGGAACATCCCTTAAAAGGGAAAACATTCCCAGTGAAAATGTGGGCCAAGAAAAAGAACATGGCGTGCCAGCCAGTCAGCCGAGCCCTCTTATGGGACGCTCCCTTCCATCTCCTGCTTTTTGGCATCTGCAGATTTCTTCCCCCCCATCCTTTGGGGAGACATTTTGGTTTGCACCCTCCCTTAGATATTCTGCTTTTTTTGTTTGTTTTTTAAAACTTCTTAGAGATGGGAAGTTTGCATTTGTTAGAATTTAGACGTCTTCTCTTGGGGAGAAACCATTTCAGGAATCCAAAGTGCCCCCTCCAGCCAAAATCAAGCATCTTATAGCAGTACTAGGATGCGGTGGCTCGGTGGCTAAGACACTGAGCTTGTTGATCAAAAGGTCGGCAGTTCACCGGTTCGAATCCCTAGTGCCACGGAACGGGGTGAGCTCCCGTGTCTTGTCCCAGCTTCTGCCAACCTAGCAGTTCGAAAGCAGGTAAAAAAAATGCAAGTAGAAAAAGAGAGACCACCTTTGGTGGGAAGGGAACAGTGTTTCGTGCACCTTTGGCATTGAGTCATGCTGGCCACATGACCACGGAGACGTCTCCGGACAGAGCTGGCTCTTCGGCTTTGAAACGGAGATGAGCACCGCCCCCTAGAGTCGAGAACAATTAGCACATATGTGCGAGGGGAACCTTTACCTTTTATAGCAGTTCCTATTTTTCCCTCTTAGTTTTCACACACTCTTCCCTGCAAAGCTCAGAAATGGAACAGCTGCTCCAACTATTTCTTTAAAAGAAGTTATTTTAGCAAAAATCGTGCCAGCAAATGACCAATGCCAACCCTGAGTTAATGTTTGCCGGTGGCAGGAGGTGGAATAAAGAGAGAGAAAGTGAGAGGTGGATTTTTACACGCCCACACAGCCCGGTTGGGAATCGTAACTCTCGCAGTCCTGAGTCATCTGGAGGACAGATGTTGAGCGTTGCAAAATCGGGCTGGCTTTCCTTAACTCTAGCAGCCTCATTTCTGAGCGCTGATGTCATTTGCGAATGTTTGGCTCTGTCTGTTTCTTTGGCTGGCCAGGTTTCTGCTCTGTTTCTTTAGAATAGGATAGGATAGGATAGAATAAGGAATAGAATAGAATGCAGAATAAAATAGAATAGAATGCAGAATCGAATCAAATCGAATTGAATCGAATAGAATAGAATACAGAGTAGAGTAGAGAATAGAAAAGAATGGAATGGAATGGAATGGAATATGGACTAGACTAGACTAGACTAGACTAGACTAGACTAGACTAGACTAGAATAGAATAGAATAGAATAGAATAGAATAGAATAGAATAGAATATGGACTGGACTGGACTGGACTGGACTGGACTAGACTAGACTAGACTAGACTAGACTAGACTAGACTAGACTAGAATAGAATAGAATAGAATAGAATAGAATAGAATAGAATAGAATATGGACCACCGTTACAAAGTTTTTAAATCCCTCACCGAAATTAGTTACTGTTTCTTCTTCGTCTCTTCTTTATGGTCTCCGCACCACCTCCGTTTCTTTTTTTTTCTTTCTTTTTTTTAAATAAATCCAACACTTGGATGTGTATTCCTTTCCCCAAATGAATAATCTTTTGTCTATTTCCCAATTTCTGTCTGTTAAATCTATAACTATGTGTTTTATTTCCAATCCACACCTCTCCTCAAAATCGCCTCAGCTCCGTTTGCCTGTCAGTTTCGCCCCCTCACACTTCAATTAGCCTCGTTAACTCCCTCCATTTTCTTCTTAACAATTCTGCTTTTCCATCAGTTTGAAGTTTCTGTTTTTAGTTATGTATCCGTTGTTTTAAATATTTAAAATGTTTCAGAATAAGAGTAATTAGTTATTACTCTTATTAGATATTAAGGATTATTATGTATGGGTAGTCCTGTAGGAAAGTGGGTGGAGATAGGCTAGCTTATTGATTGTTTAGTTGAAGAAAAGGGATGTTATGTTTAGACATGAATATATGTAAAAGATTGGAGTTAAGAGATATATCTATGGGGGGTGGAGGAAATGGGCAGACTGTGAGTTGAATAAATGTTAAATTAGGATTTATTATATAGTTTTAGAGTGGAAGGTTGCTTTGAAATTTATTTATTTATTTTATTTTTATTTATTTTAAATTTAATATACCGCCCTTCTCCCTGAGGACTCAGGGCGGTGGACAGCCAGAATTAAAAAAACATGAAATACAAATATTAAAATATTTGTATTTCGTATTTGTTTTTAAAATATTAAATATTTAATATTTAAATATTAAAAAACAATTAAAATATATAAAATATATATAAATTTAGCCCAAAATTAAAAATACAAACCAATTAAAACATTTAAAATTTCTTCTTAAGCCAGCCCGGCTTGCTGGAAAAAGTGGGTTTTAAGGGCACGACGGAAGGCGCTAAGGTCTTGGATTCTCCTTATCTCTGGGGCAACTGATTCCGGAGGATAGGTGCCCCCACAGAGAAGGCCCTCCCCCTGGGGGTCACCAGCCTGCATTGATTGGCTGATGGCACCCTGAGGAGGCCCTCTCTGTGGGAGCGCGCGGGACGATGGGAGGTCGTCGGTAGCGGCAGGCGGTCTCGAAGATAGCTAGGCCCGATGCCATGGAGCGCTATTAAAGGTGATAATCAGCACCTTGAAGCGCACCCGGAAGACCACCGGGAGCCAGTGCAGCTCGCGCAGGAGCGGTGTTACATGGGAGCGAAATGTCATATTAATATACAAAAAAAAAGATTTGATTTAAGAGATATATGTATGGGGGAGGAGAAAAAGAGTAGATTATGAATAGAAATTGCTAAACTGGGGGGATATAATAATATTATTATGCTAAATTAGAGAGTTATATATAATGTCATAGTAGAATGTTATTTTGAAATGTATAGTATAAGGGGGATATGATAATATTATTAGAAAGAAAGGGTCAGCATATGGGGGATGGAGCAAGGGGATGGTAAAGTATTATATAATCTGTTATGAATTTGGGTTTTACTTTGAAGAAGCCACAGGGGGGGGGAGGGGGAGGGGGGTGGGTTAGGGAAGAGGGGGAAAAAAGGGGGGAATTTTGTATTTGAAAAACTTTTTTAATAAAAAAAAAGAGTAATTAGTTATTCTTATTGATGCTGTTTGCTCAATCCTCGCTTCCCTTTTTTTAAAGCAACTGTCAGCTTTCTGGCCAACCGACAAGAGGTTGGTTTTTTTCCGGCTGAATTAAGGGACTTTCCTTGAACCTTCGGGGCAATTTTTGATACCCCCGAGGTCCTCAGGATTTTCCCTTTTATCTATTGACCTCTTCGTGGTCAATAGAGTTAAAAAATTCAGTTTTCAGACCAAAATTGGGACCTAGGAACGGAGCGCTGTTCCCTCGGTTCCTATCACGCTGACGTCACCAACGCCTGTAAAGACACAAAACCAAGTATATATATTTTAAAAAAAAAAAGAATGCTGGTTTGACCATCTGACCAACATGTAGATTCTTCGTATAATCCAATATTACTCTGGGCCATTATGTGAGAAAGGGAAGCCTTATTGTAGAGTCTTGTTGGATAGCTGGGGATCATTTTAGAATAGAGTAGAGTGGAGTGGAGTGGAGTGGAGTGGAGTGGAGTGGAACGGAACGGAATGGAATGGAACGGAACGGAAACAGAACAGAACAGAACAGAACAGAATAGAATAGAATAATAACAGAGTTGGAAGAGACCTTGGAGGTCTTCTAGTCCAACCCCCTGCCTAGGCAGGAAATTCCTACACCACTTCAGACAAATGGTTATCCAACATCTTCTTAAAAACTTCCAGTGTTGGAGCATTCACAGCTTCTGGAGGCAAGTTGTTCCACTGGTTAATTGTTCTCACTGTTAGGAAATTTCTCTTTAGTTCTAAGCTGCTTCTCTCCTTGATTAGTTTCCACCCATTGCTTCTTGTCCTGCCCTCAAGTGCTTTGGAGAATAGCTTGATATTTTCTTGAGGACAGGTCATGCTCTCAAAAAAATCTTTTCCAAAAATGGTCAAAAACCCCCCCCCCCATCATTTATTGTTTGCAATTCTTCAACCCCATCTAATATCCACCTGGTTCATGTTTCCTCCTTTCCTTCTTTAAAACAGGGTTAGAACAGGAGGAGAATTCCTAATGCAAAAAGTTGGTCAACCATCAACACCCAAACAGTGTCTCGTGAAGTGAAAGTCATCTGAACAACAAAAGTGCCATTTAAACAAAAGTCCCATTTGCAATTTAGAGACAGTGGAATCTATCTACTGTAGCTTTCTTCCAGGAGAGTGTTTCATCAGTCATGGACACCCCTCAGAAAGCTCTGCATGCCATTCCATATGGCAGATATAAGGTAAAGGTAAAGGTTCCCTCGTACATATGTGCTAGCCGTTCCCGACTCTAGGGGAGCAGTGCTCATCTCCGTTTCAAAGCCAAAGAGCCAGCGCTGATTTAAGCTCACGCCGACTGCTTCAGTGACTCCATCCAGCCCCCTCGTTCTCTGCCGTCCCCTTCTTTTGCCCTCAATCTTTCCCAGAATGAGGCTCTTCTCCAGGGAGTCCTTCCTTCTCATTAGGTGGCCAAAGTATTTGAGTTTCATTTTCAGGATCTGGCCTTCTAAAGAGCAGTCCTCTAGGACTGATTTGTTTGTTCACCTGGCAGTCCAAGGGACTCGCAGGAGTCTTCTCCAGCACCAAAATGCTCTGTAATCACCAGCCATTTTTGCTGCACTTCCAATCTTAATCATGGAAGCAGCCTTTATTGCTTCCAAATCATCTGGTTTGGAGGTTGCCTGGAGGGGCTGTTGAACATCTTAGAGGAAAGAAGGAAAGGTGGAACTTCGAGACTTTTACTGGTGCCGTTCTCAAGATGTCTTCCCCGGGGAATCCCAATTACCTCTCAATCTAAAAAGTGTAAATGCCTCTCTTCAAACTCCACTCAATTCTGCAAATGAACTCATCAGCCAAGGAGAAGCA